GACACTGTATATTCTGTTTGGAAAACAGAAAAAGGTAGACGAGAGTCACTCCGGTAAATAAAAAGATATAGTATCATCTTTTGTTGTTATACTGTGGGGCGGACCAAAGCGGTGTGTGCCGAAGGCGGGGGTGGGGCAGGGCGGGGAGGTGGACCAATTCGGGAGCGGACCAAAGCGGCACACTCACGGATTGCTATGCCTTAGAGGGAACATTGGCCTGTAGGGATGTGGGGGGGGCTTAAGGGGGTGTGTCTGTGTGTGAGGGGCATAGGGTAGGTTATGGGTTGTGTATATGTGGGGGGTTGTGTGGGTGTGAGGGAGGGTGGGGGGTGTGTGGAGACCCCCGCACACTCCCCCCATGGCATAGCAGCAGGTGGAGTGCTCAGTAGGTATCATAGAGGATATTCCGGTTTTCTGCTACTCTGTCCTCTATTGATACGAAACCCAATGCCTTTATGTCCTCTATTTTTCTCTTCAAGAGAAAAACGGAGGACATAAAGGCTTCCGATTTTGTATCAATAGAGGACAGAGGACAGCCAGACTGTCCTCTGTGATTGCTACCCTAGTGCTCAGGGCACAGGTGCCTGGTGGGGCATGGCTCTGGCCAGTGCTGCACATCACAGCGAGGGGCGCAACCTCCGCTGGACCATCTGTATCATCTCACTCCCTGCAACTCGCACAGCCCCTGCACTTGCGTAGCACAGAGGGAAGCCCCATGTGCTGGAGCCAGCTGCCTTCCCTGCCAGGGCTGCACTGCACAGGAGAGAAGCGTCAGGCACTGGAGCTGGCTGCCTTCCCTGCTGGGACTGCACAAGGAAGCAAGCCCCAGGTGCCTTCCCCTGAGGGGTGGGGAAGGCAGCCAGCTCCAGCCTGAGGCTTCTCTTTGGTGCTATGCAACCCCAGCAAGGAAGGCAGCTGGCTCTGGCATGTGGGGCTTCCTTCCTGTGTTGTGTGAGTGCAGGGGCTGTGTGAGTGGCAGGGAGCACCAGCGATACAGATGGCCTGGTGGAGGTTCTGGTCTGGTGGAGGCCTGTGGGCAGTGGGGTTCACACTGTTCAACATCTTCATCAGCGACTTGGATGGGGGTGTAAAAAAGCACCCTGTTCAAATTTGCAGATGACACTAAGATGTGGGGAGAAGTGGGCATGCTAGAAGGGAGGAATAGGCTGCAATCATACCTAGACAGGTTACAGGGGTGGGCAGATGAGAACAGGATGAGTTTCAACACTGACAAGTGCAAGGTGCTGCACCTGGGGAGGAAGAACCAGCAGCATACAGATGGCCTGGTGGAGGTACAGGCTGGGGAACTCCCTTCTCGTCAGTGCGGAGGCAGAAAAGGATCTTGGAGTCATTATTATGCCAAAATGAACATGGGCCAACAGTGTGGGAGCGCGGTCAGGAAGGCCAACTGTACCTTGTCATGCATCCACAGATGCATCTCAAGCAGGTCCAAGGAGGTGATCCTCCCCCTCTATGCCGCACTGGTCAGGCCGCAGTTGGAGTACTGCGTCCAGTTCTGGGCGCTGCACTTCAGGAGGGATGTGGACAACATGGAGAGGGTTCAGAGGAGGGCCACCCGCATGATCAGGGGTCAGCAGGGCAGGCCCTATGAGAAGCGGTTAAGGAACCTGAACCTGTTCAGCCACCACAAGAGAAGGCTGAGGGGGGATCTAGTGGCTATCTACAAATTATTCAGGGGGAACCAACAGGCAATGGGAGAGTCCCTGTTCCCCTGAGCACTACCAGGAGTGACAAGAAATAATGGTCACAAGCTGGGAGAGGGTAGATTCAGGCTAGATATCAGGAGGCGCTACTTCACAGTCAGGCCGGCTAGGATCTGGAACCAACTTCCAAGAGAAGTGGTGCTGGCTCCTACCCTGGGGGTCTTTAAGAGGAGGCTGGATGAACACCTTGCCAGGGTCGTTTGACCCCAGTACTCTTTCCTGCCATGGCAGGGGATCGGACTTGATGATCTGCTCAGGTCCCTTCTGACCCTACCAACTATGAAACTATGAGGTTGTGTGCAGTGCTGGCTGGAGCTGTGCCCCGTGGGGCACATGCACTCTGAGCACCCCACCTGCTGCTACTGCCACTGCCTGCCAGGGCTGTGCACCATGGGGGAGTCTGCAGGCATCCCCACACTTCCCACCATCCCTCACACCCACACGCTGCCCACCCGAGCTCCACGCTGCTGCCACCCCATTGAGCGCGGGCTCTGGGCTGCTACCAGCCCAGCCACAACCCCATGCTCTGCACTCTTGCCTAACTGCAGCCCCGCCCCTGCTGCTTCCCTACCTGCTGCCTGGAGCCAGCAGGAGACTGGGGAAGTGGAGCAGGTCTCTGGGGGCTGCAGCAGCAGCGTCCCCATGCAGAACTTGCACGCTGGCCAGACCGGGTCCTTTTGCCCATGAGGGTGGGAGCAAGGCAATAGGGTATGTTGGGGGGAGTGGGGGGAGAGGGGTGTACATGTCAGCACCTTGCTCCCACCCTCACAGGGGGAAGGGCTGGGAGGGGCACAATTTGTTGGTGGGTGATGTGGGCCAGATATGGCCCACTAAGCAGTTTCCAGCCCCCAGGCAGTGTTTCACCCGCCCCTGCTTTAACAAATGACTTGTGGGGAAGAGGGTGGGGAATTGAGTAAATATTTAGACTTCGGCCTTCCTTTTCTAGGATTACAGCAGCAGAAATTTTGAGGTAGCGGTGCTTTACCTGAACCATTTTCTTCTTTTCCTGCTTTCTGTTCACATGCTAAGGTTTACTACCTTTTCTCCTCTTGAAATGACTTATTTTCTTTCCTTCTCCTCTTTCAAATTTTTTAACATTTACTCCCTTCTTTACTTCTTTCCTTGTCACTGCCATGTTATAGCAGGTTTATCCTGAAGGATTAACAAAAAAAGTGACACTAGGGTTTGGTAGCTTGACTTGATAATATTAACACACACGCACACAATTAAGACCGTTCAGTGCCATGGTGCATATAAGAAACTTTACAGTGGTTATGCTGGTGATCCGCTATGGATACTGTTTATCATGCTGTTTGGTAGGGCTGTACGAAGCTTTGGTCCCTGATTCGATTTGGCCTGATTTGGTGGCCAAATCTCCAAATTTGAATTGAATCAGGAGACCCTTTAATCTCTCCGAATTGAATCTGAACCCTTTGAATCGATTCGGAAAGATTCAACAATTCGGACATAGACACAGCTTTAAATGGTTTTCCTACATACCTCAAGGTACCAGATGGCTTGTGAATGCTGAAATGGTGGGGCGGATGGAGGGTCCCACAGGAACATGGGGTGCTTCCCAGTGCGCTCGGCAGCAGACCCAGAAGTGGACTAGAAGCACTTCCAGTCTACTTACAGGTCCACCGGGGAGCGTGTGGGCCCCCCCCACTCCCCCAGCTCGGCGACTGGTACCTCCTGGGTCTGGGGGGGCACCCGGGTATCACACTCACAGTGCCTAGCCGGCCTGTATCAGCTGTTAGGCTGCTGGGTTCCGGATCGAGGAGGTGAGTTGGGAGTGAAGTAAAGGCAAATTTACTTATAGCTTAGCATACAACAGTTAGGAGAAAGGTTAATGCGACAAACAGATAGTACAGTAATAAAGAGCTAATAGGGAATGATAACAACAGATAGAATGACAAAGAGTTCCCACGTGGGGTTGGCAGCTTATCGGCAGTCACTCTATGCCAGGTGCGCTCCAAGTTGTTGTAGCGAAGTCGGGTGTCCCCGATCAACACTGTCCGAGGGGTCACCGGGAACGTCCCTTGGTCAGGATCCGGTCCTCACTCGCATTGGGCGTCTGGGGTCCAGGCTTGGTACAGTGATGGTCCTTCTGTCCCGTCCTTCTAACTGGTCACTTGACATGCACGTTCCTTTATGCCTTATTTTATGCTATTCTGTTAGCTTTAGAGCCATTCACAATCTTGCCCTATAACTGTTACCCTAAGGGATCAAAAGGTGCTAAAAATTATCATGGAAGGTTACCACCTGAACTGGGGTTCACCCAATAAGCAAATTACATCACATTACTTTGAGGTTTGAAATTAACATTACCTGCCCAAGCTCAACCCCTTAGTTTTTTATTCCTTGGATTCCTAGGAATGTGCTAATTATATCAGATCAGATCTTGTTACGGCTGACCTTTAAAAAACCTGTTAGATCAGCTAATCTTGTAGTTTGCTTATTTTGGGGGCCCATGATCAGTGTAAATCGTTAGATTCAACACTTTGGTTAAATTGTGACAGACAAATTCCACTTGCAGGTTGCAAACTTGCAAGCTTTGCATTAGCTAATCTTAACTGCTAAACAATTGCCTGGATGTCTCCAAAAGCATATATTTATTGCTCATGATAGTAACCTCTCTGGTTACTTCTGCCCCTGGGTTTCTGGGTTTGCCACTGAGTACGCAGGCCCCCCTCCTCCCCTCCCCCCCGTGCTCCTGAGACGCTCCATGTGCCCCACCATTGCAGCAGTCATGAGCCGCGCCTGGTACCTTGAAGTATGTAGAAACAACATTTAAAGCTATGCCTATGGCCGAATCGCCGATTCTCCAAATCAGCATCGAATCTTCAAATTCAAATTTGTTCAAATTGAATTGGGGACAATGATCCAAATCAACTAATCGAATCACTGTCCCTGATTTGAGCTGAATCCGAATGTGGCCTGTTTCACACACCCCTGCTGTTCAGTACGGTTGTTTGTCGGTGCTCCCTTGTCCTTCTGGACCCATCTCCAGCTTGTTGTGGCTACTGGTATAGGGCATATAATACACGCGGCTTGGTGCAGTGCTAGGAGGACAAACGTGAAGTGCTGTTTTTGTACAAATTAATAATTAAATAGAGACTGTTTTCAGAAAGAAGTAATTACGCTTTTTACTGTTTGTTAAATTAACTCCCAAGACATTTTTATGCCTTGCTATATTCTTTCCTGGTCTTCTCTATGGTGTTGGTACAGAACTTTTGTTTCTCTTTCCTTTTAATATTTTATTTTTTTGGTTCACAGAACTAAAAGAAATTGTATGTGTCATCCAGAGTCAAAGTAATTCTTTTCATTCCAAGAGAGCAGAAGACCTAAAGCAAAATATTTTAAATCAGGCTGCAGATCTTGGAAAGGTATGTGCAGATAATATAGACTTCATATTTCTTGTCTTTCATAAACATTTGACTAACGACGTTTGCTATTGTTCCTGTTTTAGTCCATTTTATTTCTTTTGTTAAACTGTATCAGAGTACATATATTTCATCTTTGTTCACTTTCTGAAGGAATTGCTTAAATAAGGATTTCACCGACTGCATACCAAATGGGATATCCTTCTTAAATTCTACACTATTCTAAGTTATGTGCGTTTGTGTGCAAACACAACTTTTTGTAAGTATGGAACTTAATTTTGAAGTAACGAAAGGGAAACAGCTTCTAAGTACTACAGTATCCAAAATCATCTTAACCTTTTTTGAACACAATAGTGATGATATTTTGACCAGTTATTAAACTTTTTAATTCTTTGTATTTTCTTATGAAGTGGATGTATCAGGTAGGTAATACTTAGGATCATTTTCTTAAGCATACTTTAGTGTTTTTATTTGAGCACCTTCATTTTTCAGAAGTTTTACTGCACAGCTGTATTATGATGGATTTAGAATGAACATTCCAGTCTGGACATTGACTTACACAGTCTTAGCCAAGAACTAGGATTGATTTTTGATTTTTAATGCTTACATTTGTGCAAAAGGCTTAAAGTTGCTTTTAAATCATCTGGACTTTTTAAAAAGATATAAAATGAAATTCTGAAATAACATTGTAGGGTTTATTTGTTTGAACTTTGATATTTAGAAACATAGGTATGAAAGATTATTGTTTAAAAAATGCAACATGCACTAAGTTTCTGTTGTTCTTGCCCTTCTATATACTTGAGCTGATCAGCACTGTGATAAATATGTTCTAAATGCACTTTTGAGGTTTTGATCCTATGATTAGATCTATACTGGTAGCCTGTGCCCCTCTGTGATTCCTTATTATGTTCTGAGGAGTCTTGCAGTGTTGTTGCTTATTTGTCTGCATAGAACAAAGCCCTGTCCATTAAAATGGGCTCTGGTAAATGTTCACACCCCTGAATACCAGCAGTTGGAAGCCAACAAAGTAAAAAATGGAAATGTAGATGTGTTCATTGGGGAAAGCATAGGAAAACTGGTTTAGAGGATGAGGTAACTTTTATTTTTGAGTGGCAGTAGAGTGGTAACTGAGAGCACTTCTCTCTTGTGAATGAATTAATGTGACTTTGCAAATAAACTTCAGATTATTTTAATTAAAAGGATTTGTTGATCCTCCACTAAAATGGGAACATTTTGGGTGGTAAACCACAGCACACATGGAAGGTTAGTAAAGTCAGTGATTGAAGTCGTATCAATCTGAAGATTTTGGCCCAGAATCCAGGGGAGGGGGAAAATGCAATAAAATACAGAAGAAAATGAGTCCAGTAAAACTTGTTCTTTGTGTGCCTTGCCTTTTTCTTTTCCAAGCCTCATTTTCAAATGTCTGGCCCCAAGCTGTTTTGAATAAGACTGGTAGTACTGGTTATTGTGAGGGAAAACTTAAATCCCTCTGCACAAAATTTTGAAATTGACATTTTTCATTCCAAAGTATGTGTACAAGATCACACTGGCATTAATTTCTCAAAATACGTATTACATATTTACTAACTAGTCTATATTAAAATTAAATGCAAGAGGGAATTGTCTAACTTTCTAATCAAAGTAGAATGAGTGTCTGTCTTGTTTTAAAATGTATTGAATCATATTCATATTCACTCTAAAATAAATTAAACTCCATTTTGAATTTGCTGTTTGTGTCCTATTTCATGTGCGTCTCTCTCTCTCTCTCTCTCTCTCTCTCTCTCTCCTTTAAATATTTTACATTTTAAAAATGTATTCCTCTCAAAACTCAGGTTACCACTAGAGGTCATTGTTGTTGTTATTGTTAATATGTAAATGCATATTATATAACTATAAAATATTTAGTGGTATTTTTTCCATGTTAAACAGTGGCTAATGCTTATTGATGAGGAACATTTTTTTTTGTTAAATCCCTATCAGTTTGTTTGGTATAGAATCTAATGATCAGATCCTAAATTCATCCCCACAATCCATGCAGCAGTGGGGAAAGCAGCAGCAGTGGGACAGGTACCCCCCTTGCCCACTGTCCTCTCCCATCACTTCCTCCCCTTTCAGCTTTCTGCCCCCCCCACCCCCTCCCCCCTTGTAGCCTCTGCTCCCTCCCAGGTCACCGAGCACATGGAAGCACAGTCCTGCCCAGTCATTTTATTTAGCATCTTGGGGCTGGAGCTGCTCCCTTTATACTTTTATTTACACTACAAGTTATTTCTAATATATAAGCACTAAACATATAAAAAAGTGTTTTGGTGGCGAAGACAGTTCACCAACTATTTCCCAGCCTCTCTCTTTTTTTCACCTTCGCCCTTCTGTTCTCAGTTAGATGATAATAATTGGATATTTGAATATCTCGAAAGCTTTCTAACGCAGAGAGCCACAGTATATCTTTTTAGTACTTGCACAGCCCATATACCCTAGCAGCTTTGATTACTTTACAGTTAAAAGCTGAAACCAAGATCTGCTTTTGCTTATTTTCCTGTGCATTGATTGCTTAGCTCACCTCTACTTCATAATCCTCATACTTGTATTATGTTATGCAAAACACATAGTCACCAATATTTTTCAGTCTGCTGTTGAAAAGGTAAAAGGATCTAAATCTTGCCAGCCTTTGATTAAAATCTGGCACCTTCTCAGAAATGCCAAGGGAAAAAGGATATGTAGATTGCATTTTCCTCTAAACTAATATGGCTACAATTAGGACTTGTAGTAGAGATGATATCTTTTATTAGACCAACTATTTTTGCAAAAAAAAAATAAATTTTTCTTTATTTGCCATTTTTTTGGGCACAAACACCCTTCAATCAGGCATTGGAGAAAAGATTGTAAAAGTTCTCCTGGGTAGAAATGAAAGCTTATATTTCATAGGAGAGATGAAGGTGGTAAAAATCTCCTGTTTGGAAAAGTTCATTCTATATGCAGATTAGGCTCAGAGAAAAGTTGGAATAGTCTGTTTACCTCAAAGTTGATTGTTGGTAAGCAGGATGTAGTCATATTTCCTTTTGGTTATGTTGTTTTATATTTCACAGAGCAGTAAATAGATGGGAAGCTCCTCTGGGCAGGAATTTCTTACCTAATGAGGTGTCTCTGAGCTTTGCTGTGAGGCTCTGTGAATATGCAGATTACCTTGAACAAAGGTATTTCAGGTTTCAGGTGGTCAAAGTTGCTTCCTCCTTGGAAAATTATGAAGATAATTTTCCTCATAAACTTTCTTCATAAGATAAAGGGAAGAAGGGAAATACTGTTGTTCATTATCAGCTGCTCCTCTTTTTCTTTTTTTTTTTTTTGAGTATGGCAGACTGTCAAGGAAAAGTCATAGTTGAGCCAGAGGCTTTGCAATTGCAGAATTAGTGGGTACCCTCATTTGTATCTCCTCAAAGATGTTATTTTAATCACTGTTTTTCACTCAGTTTATCTTCTGCAATTGTAATTACTTGCACTTTTCCTTTTTTTTTTTTTTTTTTAAATATGGACCTCATTCAGGGAACAATCTGCCCTTGTGAATTTGTTTATTTTTCTTGGAGGATTGCAGGTACACCTATTCAGCTTGACTGATGTGATGGAGATGATTGTACTATCTAATGGAGTCTCCCTCCTCCCCCCCCCCCCCAAAAAAAAAAAAACCCCAACAACAAAAAAACCCTGCAACAACCCCCAAAACAAAAAACAATTTCAAGACAATGTGTATGAAAAAATATTGGAGTTTTTATAATTTGACATGTGGAGAAAGAAGTGACTTATGATTCAGCTGTTCACTAATTCAGGGTATTGGAATGCATTTAATAAATACATACCCCTGGGGGCTTGCACACTTCATAGCGTCTGTAGGCTGAGTTCATTGCACATACCAGAGGTTCCCCAACTCCCTGTCTGCCTCTTTCCATATCTCTCTTTTAGTGTCTCCCTGCAACATACTCCCCCATGGCAGTGGCTTTGTGCATCTTTGGGGTTAGACAAGGACCTACAGCCAGCTAGCCAGAAGCCAGACTGAAATGCAAGCACAGTGGGAGAGGGTTCTTGAGTGGAGAGGTGTTCCAACCTGATCCCTGAGAAGCATGGGGAATGTGTGTGCAGAAAAAAGGTCTGGCCCTTCCTTGTCCTTTCAGAGACATTGTTTTAGACTAGAGGTTGACAGTATTTTCTGGCAGAGGGCCACAATGACACAGCTCAGGGCTGAAGCAGTCAGGCCCTAGGCCTCAGCCTCCTCTACTGCCACTTCTCCCTGTTGTCCAGCTGCAGCACAGCTCAGGGAGAGCCCCCTTTGGCAGAAGCCAGTGCCATCCACTTACGCTTTGGTACTTTTGGTACAGAGACAGGCCCTTTTGCTAGAGCTCCCTGTGCATGGCTATGGCGTAGCATGGGCAGAGCCTCTGTTGCCAGATCCTGCAGGGTATAGGTTGCCAAATTCTGTTTTAGGCTGTTTATACTATTCCATAGGTTTACTTTCAAACCCACACCAAGAACTGTTACTGAAAAGATGGGATAGGACTTGTACTCTTTTGTTGTAAATCATGTTTCAGGTCAGACTCTGTCAATGTGATACAAAGGTATGTGTAAAATATATAAAAGTACAGCTAAGTAATAGACAATTGCTTTGACTTAAAGTTTCTTCTGCAATTAAGTATCATAGGTTGCAGATCCTGATTAAGTCATTTCAGAATGACACTGTATGACAAGTGTGGATGGAAGGTATGGCAATGCTAGTCTGTGAATGCTTTTGATGCTTTCTAGGCAGTTACTCTAATCAAAATAGTGCTCATGTCCTTCCCCCCCCCCTTGAAATCTTTATTAAAATCCTGTATGTGTGCACACAAGTTCTCTTTTCCCCTCCCCAGGCTCACAGAAGATACTCTTGAGATATGAACTGTCAGTCTCAAAGTATCTAATCCTGAAGAGTGCTGCTGCAAGTCATCTTCTCACTAAGACACGAGTTCTCAGGTCATGGCAGA